TACTTATCCTATGGCCAGTTTTGGTATCCGGGTACTTATCCTATGGCCAGTTTTGGTATCCGGGTACTTATCCCATGGGGGATACAAATCTCACATGACACCGGAACTAAGAAATGTGAAAAGCGTTAAGATATAGTAGAATATATGGCTGAGTGTTGGAACCCTGTCTATGAGTACATATATTTAACCCTCTAATGTTGATCAATGTCATCCAATATTAAAAGTATCGCTGGTTACTCATACTCAGAAGACAGAGCACATCAAACCTGTGCTATACAGGTCACAGTACAAAATAACCTACACACACATCACACCTGTGCTAAACAGGTCACAGTACAAAATAACCTACACACATCACACCTGTGCTATACCTGTCACAGTACAAAATAATAACCTACACACACATCACACCTGTGCTGTACAGGTCACAGTACAAAATAACCTACACACACATCACACCTGTGCTACACAGGTCACAGTACAAAATAACCTACACACACATTACACCTATGCTACACAGGTCACAGTGCAAAATAACCTACACACACATCACACCTGTGCTATACAGGTCACAGTACAAAATATCCTACACACACATCATACGCTACACCACACAAGTATATATCTGTGACTTTATGTTATATAGTTTACCAACCTACACACACATCGTACGCTACACCACACAAGTATACATCTGTGACTTTATGTTATACAGTTTACCTACCTACACACACATCATACGCTACACCACACAAGTATACATCGGTGACTTTATGTTATATAGTTTACCTACCTACACACACATCATACGCTACACCACATAAGTATACATCAGTGACTTTATGTTATACAGTTTACCTACCTACACACACATCATACCCTACGCCACACAAATATACATCTGTGACTTTATATTATAAAGTTTACCTACCTACACACACATCATACGCTACACCCCATAAGTATACATCAGTGACTTTATGTTATACAGTTTACCTACCTACACACACACCATACGCTACACCACAAAAGTATACATCTGTGACTTTATGTTATAAAGTTTACCTACCTACACAAACATCATACGCTACACCACAAAAGTATACATCTGTGACTTTATGTTATAAAGTTTACCTACCTACACACACATCATACCCTACACCACACAAATATACATCTGTGACTTTATATTATAAAGTTTACCTACCTACACACACATCATACCCTACACCACAAAAATATACATCTGTGACTTTATATTATACAGTTTACCTACCTACACACACATCGTACGCTACACCACACAAGTTTACATCTGTGACTTTATTTTATAAAGTTTACCTACCTACACACACATCGTACGCTACACCACACAAGTTTACATCTGTGACTTTATGTTATAAAGTTTACCTACCTACACAAACATCATACGCTACACCACACAAGTTTACATCTGTGACTTTATGTTATAAAGTTTTCCTACCTACACGCACATCATATGCTTCAACACAAAAGTATACATCTGTGACTTTATGTTATACAGTTTAGCTACCTACACACACATCATACGCTACACCACACAAATATACATCTGTGACTTTATATTATAAAGTTTACCTACCTACACACACATCATACCCTACACCACACAAGTATACATCTGTGACTTTATGTTATAAAGTGATCCTACCTACACACACATCGTACGCTACACCACACAAATATACATCTGTGACTTTATGTTATACAGTTTAGCTACCTACACACACATCATACGCTACACCACACAAATATACATCTGTGACTTTATGTTATAAAGTTTACCTACCTACACACACATCATACGCTACACCACACAAGTATACATCAGTGACTTTATGTTTGGACAGGATTCGGACTAGATCTGTTTCAGCCAGTTTGTTGTTGTCCCAGAAGGCGGAGTAACTGTCCACATCTGACCTCATTCCTTTGTCTACAATGACGCCTCCTTCTACAAACTGAAACCAAGGGAAATATTCATAATACAAATAAGTTTTTTTAATCGTTTATTTTTTTATATCTATTTGCATAGGCCTATAACATGGTAATCTATAATATAAGAGCATATGTCAAATAATTTATATCTCAGAGTTACCTCCCTTAATGCATATAATGCATACATGTATAACAGATGATTGACTAACAACAGAAGCAGCCCCTGAGTCCAGGTTTCTCTAACTGTATTGTATTGACTAGTTATCAATACGGTTATGGAAACTCAGATTCAGGAGTTGTTTATGTCTTTTGTTATTGCTTTGCCTTATCACATACTTCCCAACCCTCCATATTTTTGAGGGTGACTCCCGATGTTCGACCCTTAAATTGAGCATTTCCAACCTGTGAATTTCCTAAACTATTCCTATTTTCTAAGATATTAAAGAGTTTATCTGAAAGAACAGCTCAAAAAATACCATTTAAAAGTATTATTTTTCCCTAGGGTGTACATACACATATTTTATTGATGGTTTTTAATTCTGAGCACGCATTATCTCCCCTTTGGCAAGTATGCTTCGGTATATCACTAGGTAAATCCTCCCAAAACCTACAAGAAGAGTGTGAACATTCCTCAACACTTATTGAACGTTGGTTCTTTACCCAGGCATTATGACTAAACAACTGACAGAATGGTCTCTTTTAAATGATTAGATGATAACTCCCAATTGAATTTTCGTGTTTAACAAGTTGTCTCAGGTACAGTTAATTCTACATATAGCAGGTGTACATATAGCACATGTCAAAATGTCATAATTATATTATAGGCAAATGTAATTGTACTGACTTAATGAACTCGTACTGATGAGTCAGTGTCACAGTCATAATTATTATCACATTGTTTTTACAAAAGAAACACAAAGTTTTAGGGTTAGATATCCTCTATGTATTTACGAGTTAACAGGGTTGATTAGACTGAGGTGTACGACTATCAATGGTTACTCTGTGTATACTCTCGGGGTTTAATTTGGATGAAGTCACTTTGTGACAGATTGTACAGACTGTCACTTAACGTAGGTGTATCGTTTCAGATATGTAGTTTGTCAGCTATCTAAACAAACAGTAAGGCTTGGAGACATAATAAGTTGAGCTTCTCCTAACCCGTTCTTTAAATTTGTTTGCATATATCAGTTTAACTTGGTTCATCTTTCTCCTGATTTTCTACTTTAATTACTAGTCTGTTTACTTTGAGATCCGGGTGAATTTTTGCACCCCACGAGCCCTGAACACAATGGGAAGGCCACAGCTTCTGCTCCGTGACAGGGGGACCCTCAAACACCACCGTGTCCAGCACTTTGGGAGGCATCTGTGTTTTCTGTGGGGGGAAACAGAGTACATTTTAATTAAAAGCCGTGATCAAGATAAAAGATTAAGGTTAAGGTCATAAATATAAACATGATTAATGTAAAGTTACAGGACAAATATCAGGACTCTATGCTACATGGTTCTGTTAAAGTAACCTTTTGCATTTTTAAAACTTCTGATCCCTGTGGTCATTTTATTTAATCAGAATCTACTCGATAGCCTACACCCCTATTCTAGCAATCCTAGACCTCATCACAGTTCTGCGTTAAGTTTTTTTCATAGAAAAGTTAAGGATATATGGGGCAAATTTTCTATGAACTTACATGTGAGTTTGTTTGGAGCGAACGTTAATCAACATTTTCTATGAACTTACATCTGAGTTTGTTGGAGCGAACGTTAATCAACATTTTCTATGAACTTACATGGGAGTTTGTTTGAAGCGAACGTTTATCAATATTTTCTATGAACTTATATAATTTCATGTGAGTTTGTTTGGAGCGTCCGTTTATCAACATTTTCTATGAACTTACATGTGAGTTTGTTGGAGCGAACGTTTATCAACATTTTCTATGAACTTACGTGTGAGTTTGTTTGGAGCGACCATTTATCAACATTTTCTATGAACTTACATGTGAGTTTGTTTGGATCTGCCGTTTATCAACAGTTTCTATGAACTTACATGTGAGTTTGTTTGGAGCGGCCGTTTATCAACATTTTCTATGAACTTACATGGGAGTTTGTTTGAAGCGAACGTTTATCAATATTTTCTATGAACTTATATAATTACTTGTGAGTTTGTTTGGAGCGTCCGTTTATCAACATTTTCTATGCACTTACATGTGAGTTTGTTTGGAGCGAACGTTTATCAACATTTTCTATGAACTTACGTGTGAGTTTGTTTGGAGCGACCATTTATCAACATTTTCTATGAACTTACATGTGAGTTTGTTGGAGCGAACGTTAATCAACATTTTCTATGAACTTACATGTGAGTTTGTTGGAGCGAACGGTTATCAACATTTTCTATGAACTTACATGTGAGTTTGTTGGAGCGAACGTTAATCAACATTTTCTATGAACTTACATTTTTGTACATGTGAGTTTGTTTGGAGGGAACGTTAATCAACATTTTCTATGAACTTACATGTGAGTTTGTTTGAAGCGAACGTTTATCAATATTTTCTATGAACTTATATAATTACATGTGAGTTTGTTTGGAGCGTCCGTTTATCAACATTTTCTATGAACTTACATGTGAGTTTGTTTGGAGCGGCCGTTTATCAACATTTTCAATGAAGGATATGTGATCAGCAGGGTGCCAGTCCCGCGTGTAAACCACAAGGTCAAAGGTCACCGTGTCCAGTACAGAGTTGATAGCTGGAATCACGCCATTACCATCCTGTCCAGCAGGGCAGTTACGTAGGGATAAACTTCCATCAAGGAAGTCATTCTGTACGTCAACGATCACAAGAGCCGACACTGGCTGTAAGATCTGAAAACATCACAACTTAATGAGTGAAACAATACATGAATAAAGGTGATATTTTTTTATGACTGTATTTGTTGTAGCGACAACTGTACTTTGATACACATGTGTGACGCCAAAACATCACTTCATACTACGATACAAACGTCTGACCATTCTCAATTAACACAGCAATATACGACCAATACTTATTGAAATTCCTTCATGTTGACCTTCAGCTGGTAATCAGTATAGCCTATTTATTAAATAATTCACCCCTGAAATTTCATAATGAACTATTCCAACCCATGAATTGGAAGAGTTCAAATGTGTCTTCAGGGATGAATGAGTTAATACTGGTAATCAGCCTGTTAAAGGGACAGTTTAGTGTAGAAAGTTTTGTTACAAAATTCTCCATGATAGTATGGTTTGATACTTCTTATGAGACAGTATTTTCTTGGTGTTCTTAATCTGTAATGAAGAAATCTTTAGCTATACCATCATAAGTTAATAGCATCTTCCAAACAACCTCTCAATCATCGCTGTAGATGAGTGATTTCACGTTTAAACCTACCGATATCATACTTGGTGCCCTTTGAAATTCTGCCGATACAGTGCCCCCTTGCATGCATACTCTAATTAAACCTGTTTCTTTTTATTCTAATCTAAATGTGAATACAATATCTCATTAAGTTTATATATTATGATACCAATAATTCTTGTTTGTGATGTATTGTGTAAATTTAAAGTGTTATATATGAATCAGACTCACTGACACTGCGTTGTCAATTGACAGCGTTGTACTTTACATGTTTAACTGTCCTGATTTAGCTTTGGGAGAGTGACACAAAATAAAGCTTAATAGCTTTACTGAATAATATATTTGGTAAATGACTTTCAGAGATAAGTTTTCCAACACTAGCTTGCTTACCGTTAATACATAAGACCTGTGAGCTTTGATAAGCAGGTATGCCTCGTCAGCGAAACATCAACATATAAAGCATCCTCAGGTATAAATTTTACTTTTAGTTGTCATAATTCTAATTTCCAACTCCCAATAAAGATATTGTTGTTTTAATTTTCAATGGTACACATACTTGCCAACTCTTTGAGATTTCCATGAGAGAGATTCTGCTCAAAATTAAAACATGAATAAAATGTATGTATATACCACCTAGAGGCAAAATAACCCTTTATAGTGACATATTTCGAGTTGTTCTTTCAGATGAAATGATTAGATCATAGAATATAGGAACAATTTAGCAAATTCACTGTTTGAAAACACTAAATTTAAGGGTCCAAAATCGGGAGTCTCCTTCGATTCCTAAATAGGGAGAGTTGGCAATGCAAGTATGGGTACACTGTTTATCTGTATGGTTCTATCAACAGTACAGGGATACTCAGACATACAGATGAGAGAGACAGGAAGCTATTGTACTATAGCAGTCTCTGTCCAGACATACACATGAGAGAGACAGGAAGCTATTGTACTATAGCAGTCTCTGTCCAGACATACAGATGAGAGAGACAGGAAGCTATTGTACTATAGCAGTCTCTGTCCAGACATACAGATGAGAGAGACAGGAAGCTATTGTACTATAGCAGTCTCTGTCCAGACCTACAGATGAGATAGACATGAAGCTATTGTACTATAGCAGTCTCTGTCCAGACATACAGATGAGAGAGACAGGAAGCTATTGTACTATAGCAGTCTCTGTCCATGTTATCATTTCCACATGTAACTTTATGAAGTCAATGGACCAGTTAATTGTGACGGAGACTAACCTGACCTGATTATTCAGCAGGTCAGTAATACTAAGTGTATATAGGAGTAATATATTTAGACAAGCTGTGATCAATACCGGTGTTTATACAGTCCATGTAGGGAAGGATATCTGTGACGTTAATCCGGACTATATTTAACAAGCTGCACACATATCATCAGCAGGTGAAGAAACATTTAATTTAGCTTTTGTATTTAACATAAATCTGTCATAGTGTATAACGTGACCTTTCACCCAGTCAAATATCTACCCTGTGTTCATATCACCATCACCTGTCATTATTACTATATATGGTATGCTGTGTACTATGTTATGATAGATTTGTTCTCAATGCGGAGAGCAAAAAAGACCAAAGTTAAACTTCAGTGAACATTTCCAGGTATACCGTACCAACTTAACAACAAAAGACCTACTGGCAATCTTAATTACCAACAAAAGACCTACCGGTAATCTTAATTACCAACATAAGATCTACCCATAATCTTAATTACCAACAAATACCTTCCGGTAATCTGGTTTCCCAACAAAAGACCTCCCGGCAATCTTAATTACCAACAAATACCTACAGGTAATCTTAATATCAACAAAAGACCTACCGGTAATGTTAATATCAACAAAAGACCTCCCGGTAATCTTGTTTACCAACAAAAGACCTCCCGGGAATCTTAATTACCAACAAAAGACCTCCCGGTAATCTTAATTACCAACAAAAGACCTACCGGTAATCTTGTTTACCAACAAAAGACCTCCCGGTAATCTTAATTACCAACAAAAGACCTACCGGTTATCTTAATTACCAACAAAAGACCTACCGGTAATCTTAATATCAACAAAAGACCTACCGGTAATCTTAATTACCAACATAAGATCTACCCATAATCTTAATTACCAACAAATACCTACCGGTAATCTTAATTACCAACAAAAGACCTACCGGTAATCTTAATTACCAACAAGAGATCTACCGGTAATCTTAAATACCAACAAAAGACCTGCCGGTAACCTTAATTACCAACAAGAGGTCTACCGGTAATCTTAATTACCAACAAGAGATCTGCCGGTTATCTTAATTACCAACAAATACCTACCGGTAATCTTAACTACCAACAAAAGACCTACTGGTAATCTTAATTATCATCAAAAGACCTACCGGTAATCTTAATTACCAACAAAAGACCTCCCGGTAATCTTAATTACCAACAAAATACCTTAATTCTCTTTTATTTATCTAAATTCTTTTGTAATTGTTCTGTCAATAGTGGCCATCTTGAATTCTTCACAAAACCAAATAATCACAACAACTACATTAAGTCAGAACAATAAGACTGCTTTAATTAGTATATAGTAATAGGGCCCCCTCAGTCCCCATGGGGGCTATAACCTTCATTTATACAACACTGAATTTTCCTAGCCTCAGGTTGTCTCATACGTATACCAAATCAGGTAAAAATCCCTAATAAGGAATTGTCTGTCTCCCAATCACTGCACCTCCTATATAAGAAGTACAGTGTATAATATAACTGTTGTTTTTCCATTATTGAGCCCTAGGTGATAAAGTTGACAGAAGACATTCCTCTCCAGACTTTAACTACTTCCCATACAGCAAGCAGAGGTTTATTAAACAAGTATTATGTTTAATAATACTTGCTGTTGAAATCATTAAAATTACATGAAATCAATAAAGGTACGCCCTGTGACGCATGCTACATGTCCATAATAAATAAGTCATTCTACTGCCTGGACCTTCTATAGGTGCTTACCTGTTTCAGCCAATAAAAACTGTTCTCCATAAATTCTTTCTTGTTAATTTTGCCATCCTGTTAAGAAGAATACAAGCATGCATTATTGAACAAGTTGAAATGCTGATACAATACCTGTCTTTATATAGACAGACTCCATGTTCTAGACACCATTCTTGTCTTTATATGGACTTGAGGTTCTGCCATGTATAGTTATATTGTAAGGTAGCAGGGTGGGAGTGTCCAGCAGCTGTAGCAAAGTGTAATAGCTTGGCAGGTTATAAACGTGGACCATTATATGTGTGTGTGCTGTAATGGCAGTTCTAGTCATCACTAACATAATGTCTGTCTGGCTGTGGGCCTGACAGATCACACAACACGAAGCCCCATAAAATATATGTAAACCTCTGTTTCAAACAATGACTTTTCTTTCTTTTGTAAAACAGCAGCTAGCTTAGAGAGAAATTTACATTTTTCCACTGTTACCCTATCTCAAGTTCATGACACCATCATGTTACAGAAAAATATTCTAGAAATAGAGTATGGTTTTATTGCAATATTATTACACTGAAAAAATCACTAAAGTTTTATAGCTAATAAAAAAACATACATTTTGTGAACATACACTAACGCTGCCAGATTTTGGGTTTTTCTCTCCATCAAATCGTAAAAGAAAACTTTCTAAATTTGACTTTGAACAAAATGTAGGCATAGCGTAATTATAAGTGGACAGGGTTGTTTGGCAATAACCCAGTAGGTCAATTGGTAGAGAGCGTGTCCATCTAGAACTTGGAAGGTCCTGGTGTGAATCCCGGTCTGGACATACATTTCTCTCCCTCTCGCTCCTGTAACAGTGGTGCCTGTGACCAACCCTTATTTCAACTACTGAGTGAGTGTTTCGGAAGGGGATACCAGAACCTGGGTTGTAAATAATGTGTCTTTGGGGGTGAAGACTGAGCTAAAAAGAAGAGAGGAAAGCAGAAGAACATGACTGGGTCGTTCACCCGCAACCAGGTAGCTGAAGTGGTAGAGCATCTGTCTAGAGTTTGAAACGTCCCGGGTTCGAATCCTGATCTGGCGGTGCATCTTTTCTCTCTCTTTTATCATGTGTTATACATAGGCAATAATCAGGGTATATATGGGTGACATAACAAAGTAAATAGTTCTGTCTTCACCATAACGAATGATGCAAAATCTAGATTTATATATATGTTGTTATTATCTGGTACATAGACAACAAGAGGCCCAAGGGCCTTAGCGGTCACCTGAGTTATATCATAGGTACTGGTAGCTTTATTTTATTGTTTAGATGTGATGTGGAAATCAGCATGTAAATTAAGCGAAATGCAATACTTGTCATGTCATCAAAGGATAAGAATTTGAAAATATTGGTAAATGTTCCCTTTGGGGCCCTGCCCTAGCCCCTGGGGATGGGGCAGGAATCCCAATTTTACAAAGTAATTAATACTCTCATTCACCAAAGATGATTCTGACTAAGTTTGAGTAATTTTCTGCTGAAAATGGATAAAATATATACCCAAAAGTGTCATTTCGCTATATAAACTATGGTAAACTTTACCCCCTCCCCAAGGGAGAACGGATAGCTCTGGGGTCCTGAAATTTACAATTTAAATAAAGCCCCTGATGATCTTTCCATCCATGCAGAGAAAATGACTGTAGTATAGGACTCTGAGTCTGGGGAAGAACATTTTTGAAATATTGGTCAATTTTCCCTTTGGGGCCCCGCCCTGGCCCCTAGGGTTGGGGTAGGAATCCCAATTTTACAATTTAAAACCATCTTCCTCCTCCAAGGATGATTCTCACCAAGTAAAAATAATTTCCAACAGAAAATTGTCAAAATATACCCAAAAGTGTTGTTTCCCTATATAAACTATAGTAAACTTTACCCCCTCCCCAAGGGAGAACGGATAGCTTGGGGGTCCTGAAATTTACAATTTAAATAAAGCCCCTGATGATCTTTCCATCCATGCAGAGAAAATGACTGTAATACCTCTGAGTCTGGAGTTCCCTTTTGGGCCCCGCCCTGGCCCCTAGGGTTGGGGTAGGAATCCCAATTTTACAATTTGGTATCCTCATCTATCAAGGATGATTCTGACCAAGTTTGAAAAAATTCCATCCACTGGTTCTTGAGAAGAAGTTGATTATGTAAAAGTTTACGCACGACGCACGACGGACGACGGACGACGACGGACGGAAAGTGATTGGAATAGGTCACTTGAGCAAAGCTCAGGTGACCTAAAAATACTGACGGGTCAACAAGAGCCCCGCGATGTGTCTGATCATTCCCCTGTGGTATACATCTTTATGTTCAGTAACAGTAACTTTAACCATGACCTTAAACACTTTTAAACCCCTACTACACATCTAAATATCACAGTGGATCACTATGAAAAGATGGTAGCCTTCTAGGATTTCAAGATCATGACTGTACCTCAAATAGTCTATTTAAGGTAACGGTGACCTTGACCTTAAAATGTTTTTAAACCCCTATTTCACATCTACATATCACCATGTCAAATTCTAAACAAGAGGCCCAAGAGGGCCTGTATCGCTCACCTGAATATTTAAGCAGTCATAGCAAAATATTCTCATTACATATTATATTGCACTAAAAATATTTCCCTCACAAACTTTATTGGCTCCATCTGTTGAAACAACCAGCAAAATAAGATTCTATGCTTTTTGATTCTTCTTCAGAAGTTGCTTGACATATTTTTCCCTGTGACCTTGTAAGTAGGTTAATGTCATTTTCCTTCTCAAATTGGTTAGCTCTATTTCAAAATGCTACCAGCCAAATCTTATGAATCCATTCCTTTTAGTTCTTGAGAACAAATCCTTTAAAATGTTGTTGACCTTTGTGACCTTTTAAGTAGGCTGAGGTCATTTTCATTCGCAAACTTTGGTGAGCTCTATCCCAGGAAGTCACCAGCCAAATATTAAGGTTCTATACCGTCCAGTTCTTCAGAAGAAGTTGTTCTAAGTGCTAGACATATCTGACTCCTGTGACATTGAAAGTATGTCAAGGTCATTGTCATTCGCAAACTTTGCTGGGCTCTTTCCCAGGAAATAACCAGCCAAATATTAAGGTTCTATACCGTCCAGTTCTTCAGAAGAAGTTGTTCTAAGTATTAGACATATCTGACTCCTGTGACCTTGAATGTAAGTCAAGGTCATTTTCATTCGCACACTTTGTTGGGCTCCTTCCCATGAAGTAACCAGCCAAATATTAAGGTTCTATACCGTCCAGTTCTTCAGAAGCAGTCGTTTTAAGAGTTTGACATATCTACCTCATGTGACCTTAAAAGTAGGTCATGGTCATTTTCATTCTCAAACTTTGTTGGGCTCTATCCCAGGAAGCCACCAGCCAAATATACAGATTCTATCCCTTTCAGTTCTTCAGAAGAAGTCGTTTGAAGTTTTTGACATATTTGACCCCTGTGACCTTGAAAGTAAGTCAAGGTCATTTTCATTCTCAAACTTTATTGGGCTCCATCCCAGGAATCCATCAGCCAAATATAAAGATTCTATACCTTTCAGTTCTTCAGAAGAAGTCGTTTGAAGTTTTTGACATATTTGACCCCTGTGACCTTGAAAGTAGGTCAAGGTCATTTTCATTCTCAAACTTTGTTGGGCTCCTACCAACAAAGCTTTCAGTCAAATATCATGACTCTAGGCCTGTCCGTACTTCTGCAGAAAGTTGACGGACGAGGACGGACGACGGATGCCGCACCATGACATAAGCTCACTTGCCCTTCAGGCAGGTGATCTAAAAAGTTGAGTCTTTTGGATTTTGAGATAAGGACTTTATCCTATGGTCTATTTATAGTAACAGTGACCTTGACCTTAGAAAGATTTGGATTCTGAGATAAGGACTTTACCCATGGTCTATTTATAGTAACAGTGACCTAGACCTTAGAATGATTAGTATGTTGGATTTTGAGTTATCTCCAGAAAAACAAGTGTGAATACAGATGGACACAGTTATTACTATTTGCCACCCAAATCTCTGATGATGTCAGTCAGGCCAGCCCTAACAAGTGTGCTGCTGTACATATCATTGCTGGATAAAATATCTGAAAAATAATGTATTATACTGTTTTCTTGTCATGTTTACCCAACATATCACTATAGTAAATATTTAACAACATACCACAATTTGGATAATTGATCCTTAAATATAAAGCCTGAAAATTGGAACACAATAAATGTATAAATAAACGGACCTCCCTGTATGTACATAGTTTAATTAGCATCAATCAGCATGTCACAGTCCAATGACTGGATGGTGTGTTAGATCCACGACCACCATAGACCAGAGATCCTTACTCATTTAACTTTATACCTGATGTTTGATGAATTTAACCTCAAACATGGAAATAATGACCTTGAACTCTGACCATGACCCCCTGACAGTGCCCCTGACCTACGTACCTTGTCTATATCGAGTAAATCCATAAACTGTGACAACACCTGAGAGGTGATTGTGTATGGCTGACCTCCATCACAGAAAAGATCAGTAAGTAATCCATCAAACTCCGTCTGCTTTAATACACCGTCCCTGAAATGTAATAATCACAAAATTAAAGTACATACTTGGTACTACATAGATCTAACACTAGACTTAATTACACAGATCCTACTCTGGAACATATCTACACAGATCTAACTCTAGTACACATCTACACAGATCTTACTCTAGTACACATCTACACATATCTTACTCTAGTACATATCTACACAGATCTTCCTCTTGTACATATCTACACAGATCTTACTCTAGTACATATCTACACAGATCTTCCTATAGTACACATCTGCATAGATCTCTTACTTTAGTACACATCTACACAGATCTTACTCTAGTACATAACTACAAAGATCTTACTCTAGTACACATCTACACAGATCTTACTTTAGTACACATCTACACAGATCTTACTCTAGTACACATCTAAACAGATCTTACTCTAGTACATATCTACACATATGTTACTCTAGTACATATCTACAAAGATCTTACTATAGTACACATCTGCATAGATACATATCTACACAGATCTTACTCTGGTACATATCTACACAGATATTACTCTAGTACATATCTACACAGACCTTACTCTAGTACATATCTACACAGATCTTACTCTCGTACATATCTACACAGATCTTACTCTAGTACACATCTACAAAGAGCTTACTCTAGTACACATCTAAACAGATCTGTGTAGATGTGTACTAGAGTAAGATCTGTGTAGACATGTACTAGAGTAAGATCTATGTAGATGTGTACTAGAGTAAGATCTATGTAGATATGTACTAGAGTAAGATCTGTGTAGATGTGTACTAGAGTGTAGATATGTACTAGAGTAAGATCTATGCAGATGTGTACTATAGGAAGATCTGTGTAGATATGTACTAGAGTAAGGTATGTGGAGATGTGTACTAGAGTAAGATCTGTGTAGATATGTGCCAGAGTAAGATCTGTGTAGATATGTACTAGAGTAAGGTCTGTGTAGATATGTACTAGAGTAAGATCTGTGTGGATATGTACCAGAGTAAGATCTGTGTAGATATGTACTAGAGTAACATATGTGTAGATATGCACTAGAGTAAGATTTGTGTAGATATTTACTAGAGTAAGATCTATGTAGATATGTACTAGAGTAAGGTCTATGCATATGTGTACTATAGTACATATCTACACAAATCTTACTCTAGTGCATATCTACCCATATGTTACTCTAGTACATATCTACACAAATCTTACTCTAGTGCATATCTACCCATATGTTACTCTAGTACATATCTACACAAATCTTACTCTAGTGCATATCTACACATATGTTACTCTAGTACATATCTACACAGATCTTACTCTGGTACATATCTACACAGATCTTACTCTAGTACATATCTACACAGACCTTACTCTAGTACATATCTACACAAATCTTACTATAGTACACATCTGCATAGACCTTACTCTAGTACATATCTACATAGATCTTACTCTAGTACATATCTACACAAATCTTACTCTAGTGCATATCTACACATATGTTACTCTAGTACATATCTACACAAATCTTACTCTAGTGCATATCTACACATATGTTACTCTAGTACATATCTACACAGATCTTACTCTAGTACATATCTACATATATCTTACTTTAGTACATATCTACACAGATCTTACTCTAGTACATATCTACATAGATCTTACTTTAGTACACATCTACACAGATCTTACTCTAGTATACATCTACACAGATCTTACTCTAGTACACATCTACACATATCTTACTCTAGTACATATCTACACAGATCTTCCTATAGTCCACATCTGCATAGATCTTACTCTAGTACATATCTACATAGATCTTACTCTAGTACACATCTACACAGATCTTACTTTAGTACACATCTACACAGATCTTACTCTAGTACATATCTACACAGATCTTATATCTACACAGATCTTACTCTAGTACACATCTACACAGCTCTTACTTTAGTACACATCTACACAGATCTTACTCTAGTACACATCTACAAAGATCTTACTATAGTACACATCTGCATAGATCTTACTCTAGTACATATCTACACATATGTTACTCTAGTACATATCTACACAGATCTTACTATAGTACACATCTGCATAGATCTTACTCTAGTACATATCTACACAGATCTTCCTATAGTGCACATCTGCATAGATCTTACTCTATTACATATCTACACAGATCTTACTCTACTACACGTCTACACAGATCTTACTCTAGTGCACATCTACACAAATCTTACTCTAGTACACATCTCCACAAATCTTACTCTAGTACACATCTACACAAATCTTACTCTAGAGTACATATCTACACAGATCTCCCTATAGTACACATCTGCATAGATCGTACTCTAGTACATATCTACATAGATCTTACTTTACTACATATCTACACAGATCTTACTCTAGTGCACATCTACACAAATCTTACTCTAGTACATATCTAAACAGATCATACTGTAGTATACATCTACACAGATCTTACTCTACTACACATCTACACAGATCTTACTCTAGTACACATCTACACAAATCTTACTCTAGTACATATCTACACATATGTTACTCTAGTACATATCTACAAAGATCTTACTATAGTACACATCTGCATAGATCTTACTCTAGTACACATCTACATAGATCTTACTCTAGTACACATCTACACAGATCTTACTCTAGTACACATCTACACAGATCTTACTCTGGTACATATCTACATAGATCTTACTTTAGTACATATCTACAAAGAGCTTACTCTAGTACATATCTACACAGATCTTACTCTAGTACATATCGACACATATCTTACTCTAGTATATATCTACATAGATCTTACTCTAGTACATATCTACACATATCTTACTCTAGTATATATCTACATAGATCTTACTCTAGTACCCGTCTACAAAGATCTTCCTCGAGTACATATCTACACAGATCTTACTCTAGTACATATCTACATAGATCTTACTCTAGTACCCATCTACACAGATCTTACTCTAGCACATATCTAAACATATCTTACTCTAGTACACATCTACACAGATCTTACTCTAGTACACATCTACAAAGATCTTACTCTGGTACATATCTACTCATATGTTACTCTAGTACATATCTACACAGATCTTCCTATAGTACACATCTGCATAGATCTTACTCTAGTACATATCTACATAGATCTTACTTTAGTACATATCTACACAAATCTTACTCTAGTACATATCTACATATATGTTACTCTAGTACATATCTACAAAGATCTTACTCTAGTACATATCTACACAGATCTTACTCTAGTATATATCTACAAAGATCTTACTCTAGTACACATCTACACAGATCTTACTCTAGTACATATCTACACAGATCTTACTCTAGTATATATCTACA